TCGAGTGCACTACGGAGTCTAGAAATTTCATTTCCTAAATTGAGAATCACTACTTATTTTTTTAAATAAATACCTATAACTCAATTTACTGGAGTAGCCTGTTGTGTTTTTCACAGCTACTGTAAGAATACCTCCACGACAAGTGACAGATCTCTAATGGAAAAGCACCTGTTGAACACTATTAGAGCTATTTAATGCTTTTCCCCCCCAAGCCCTCCTGACAATCCTTTCTGTGATAACCCACCTTCTAAGACACAAAGAACAAGTGACTCCCACACCCTGAAACACAAAAGCCTTATTCATGAAAGAGAAACCTTCCGCTGTGTCCAAAGCTGAACTATTTGATAAAACCAGTTGCTTCTCATCTGATATAATGCCATGTGAATGATTTATGAACTAAGAACAGGTAAAGGTTAATCCCACGCTGAACAGTAAAAAGAAGCAACGTGTTTCGGCTGGTAAATTTCTTCCCAGATGAGAGGTGACAAACTCTCTCCTTTCAGAGCGGGATTAACCTTTAATTGTTCCTTTGCAGCCGACGCACACTGTCACAGCTCCTCACTTTAACCTTTTCTGTGAAATCCGTGTGTTTAAAGCTCATAAATCAATGGACTGGAAAGGTAATATTTGACTACCACTCTACCCTACAGTACCATGTCCTTTTGGTCCATAACACAGAAAAGCAAACAGGTAAAAAAAGATCACTTTATTGGCCATATACAATTTCTCATATTAGGAGTTTGTCTTTTCATCTACCGCAGCTTGCTCTCCATGAGACACACAGACAGGGAGAGGAGCTTGGGGTCAGAGCGCGGGGTCGGCCATTTATACAGCCCCCCCGGAGCAGCTGGAGTTTAACATCACTTTATTAACCCTTACAATTTCTTGCATTAGGAATTCTCTTTCCACATACCCCAGCTTGCTCTCCATGAGACACACAGACAGGGACAGAAGCTTGGGGTCAGAGCGCAGGGTCAGCCATTGTAAAGCGCCCCTGGAGCAGTTAGGGTTAAGGGCCTTGCTCTGGAGCCCAACGGAGTAGGATTCCTCTGCCGGCTGTGGGATTTGAACCGGCAACCTTCTAGCCACAGGTGCAGATCCTGAGCCACAGAGCCACCGCAACCGGACTAAAATGGGAGCCTGAGATGGGAGCTGGGGCGACTTCTTAAAAATGAGTCCTGACAGTTAGTCAGATTCAGTTCAGCTTCACTTCCCCTGTGTCCCGGCACTCATAGGGAGTCCTGGCTGGGTGCTCACTGTCACCCAGGTGTGCTGCTGGGGTCAGCAGGTGCTCCTGCTCAGGCGATGCTGTAGCCCTGATCCCTCAACTGGCACAAGACTAAAGGTAAGGTCATGACTGGAGCCTTTTAAATGAGAACATTCTGATTTTTCCATAGTCTCATCAAACAGGCGTAAGAGTCAAAGACGGCCCCAGATTACTCTTGTACTGAGCACTCCTACAAGTTGTTACTAAAATATTAATGGTTCCGGAGAAACTAACAAAAACACGAGAAGATTCTGCCCTTCCTTTCAGGGGTGGAAAACGTGTGGGGAATGCTGATGTATTCTCAAGTGTCTCTTGCTCTAACCTGGCTCCCAGTCAGACAGCCTTACAGCTGAAGGAAGCATGTTCATGTGCAGAACAGGGCCAGAACTCCTCCTTCTGCAGAACAACATCAGTAAAGTTTATAAATGAAATGTAAAGGCCTAGAAGGCATGACAAAGCTTTGGCTATAAAAGCAGCTGTAATAAGTAATTCTCTTCTGCCCCCTAGTGGCAAACTGTTAGAAGAACACAAATAAGATGGCTGATTAAACTACTCACTCTTCTTGCTCCAAATATTTCATTGAATTTAGACCACAGACAATAACCCTGGGCCAACAGGGTCTCTAGGTCTCTTTAAATTGAATTTTCACATTAGGGCTGTAATTGATTGATGTGATAATGCACAGGTTCATATGAAGCACAGTCTAGATCCTATTGGATGGGGAATGGACCTATTGACGAAGTGCACTATCTTCCTGATATCTGTTGAAAAGGACTCAAGAAGTCAGTCAAGGAAACATAAAACCTCACATGCAATACAATCTTAACTCAACCACAAAAGCCTTGGCACATTCTGTGTATTTACCTGTACATTTTCAGGAAGACATCAGTGCTGAGGAGTTTAAGACGGCTGAAATCAGATTTTAAATTAAATTACTTTTCTTGTATAACTTCTTATGCCCTTTTCTTAATCTTTTGCATTTCGAAGTTCTCTGATTTTGCTTAAATTCCCTCTACACCTCATCGTGCAGTATGTTATGACGCTGGATTTTCAGTACTGTAGGTATCGAAGAGAAAATGAACTCTCTTTTCCATTTCCCTCCGTGCTGGTCAGGAAGGATGTCTGAATTTGAGCTAAATGCACAGTTAGCTCCTTTCCTGCATGTCTGGACCTTCCTACCAAAGCTTAAAACGAGCAGGTGGTGCTCTGAGCAGTGAGGCTAATTTCACACAGTAAAGCGATCATGCACCTAATGGGAATGTTAACTGCCCCTACCTACAAAAGAGCTTAGCTTAGCTTTGCGCTGTTAATTGGGTTTTATTCCCTTCAGAGAATGTAGCTCAGTGAAAGCCAGCCCACATTGGGAAAAGAGCAGCATTAAATAAAATACCTGCTTTGCCTCATTTGACTCAAAAATCCCTTTTAATTACAAGTGAAACGGAATAATCGCAGTTCACAAACCAGGCCCAGGCCAGACGTTTCATGATGAGCATAGAGGCATTGAGTTCCTTCTGTGGTATATTAACAAAACTGTCTGAGTATTCTTGCTTTTTATCCCTAAAAAACGTATGACCAGAAAAAGTCTGAGCCTGCCACATCCCTGCTTAAATCTTTCAATTCATCTCTCAAGTAGTGTCCTGGGATTTATCGGGACCCTGCCTGCACAGTTACTCACTGTCACAACAGAGAGGAATGTTAATTCATTATGTAATTAGTGGAGCCAGCTGATTAAGAGTGGGGGCAGTGTGGCCGAGTCCTGATTCTCCTTCAGAGGCCGGAGTCAGTTACACACACATACTGTAGTTCAGGTGGGCAGCTGCGCAAGCATGCGCAGGCTGCAAAGGAACAAGTAAAGGTTTATTCCCTGCTGAAAAGAGAAGAAAAGAAACACAACGTTTCGGCTGTGGAGCCTTCTTTGAAGGCACACTCAAAAAACTTCCCCGGCAGCTGAAACGTTGGGTTTCTTTTCTTCTCTTTTCAGCAGGGAATAAGCCTTTACTTGTTCCGTTACAAATACAAAGACATTCACACATCTTCCTGTCAGAAGAATGGCTTCAAGCCCACTAATCACACCTCTTACAGCTATCATCCTTTACACTCGGAGCAATTTTGCGATCTCATCCTTCGAAGGCAAGAATCTGGTGGAGATCACGAGCATCTGCTCTCTCCTGGATGAACAGAGGAGAACACAGTCTTAAACACACCGTGAGCGGTTTTTGGAAACGCATTTGACCCTGTGTCTGCTGTCAGCAATGGGAAATTACTTTGGAAAACCAAACGAATACTTCCTGACGGAGAGGCAGGTGCACTTGGATTTTTTTTTTTCGCTGGCGAGAGGCTGCTGCTTCTTTTTCAACTAGAGCGGACTCTCGCTCTGTCCTTGCGTCTCCTCACGTCTCGTTTTCTGACCGCAAGACAACCTCGGGCAGAGGCCACCTGCAGACAGAGGCGACTTGAGGCTTTTCCGAATGTCAGCAACCCCCGTTTCAACTCAGGCTGTCAGCGGTGTGTTCTGGAATAGCGACGTGTTCTGGAGTACCGTGCGACAGCACAGCCCTTTCCCGTTGCCTCTCACGAGCTTTTCATCTGGATAGCAGCTGTCAGCTGTCCCTGAAGGACTGTCACAGCAGGCAGCGCCCGGCCTGAAACAACTCATTTCTTCTTGTTGGTGACAGACAAAGCAATAAGGGGAACGCCTTCATAAGAGCAACAATTCTGACTCTCCCACGCAAGAGCTTTCCTTCCTAATTCTCAGCATTCATCGTCTCTGTCGAATCAATCAACCAATCAATCAGTGAATTAATCAATGATTGCCTTCACGGTGTGCATTTTAAAGTGTTTTGCAAGTAATCAATATTTTTTTTCTCATAGCTGAAGAGAAATAAGGGTCATATAAAGTCATATCAAGTAGTAGTTAGCTATCCACAACTTGAAACGTAGGATCAGGGGTCTCCAGTGTGTCAGCAGGTTTTTCTGGGTCTCTGAACAGCTGGGGGGAGATGTTAAACTGGCCCAATTAATTCCACAATGAGTTCATTTTGCTCATTTAAACCAACTAAGAGCTGAGCTGGAAGGAAAACCTGCAGACACAGCAGCCCTCAAGGTTTAGACACGAGGAATGAGGGAAGCAGAAGACTGTGTGTGAAAGCAGAATCGTTCATGGAGTTTTGTGAAAACTTGGCTTAAGCCATTTGGTTGAGGGCCAACCTCCCTGCTATAGGATGGGGAAGCCAAGACTCAGGGAAAAGGTGACCAAGTGGTACAGGTGGCGCTGTGGAGGGCAGTGGGTGGCTCTGTGGCTAAGGATCTGCGCCTGTGGCTGGGAGGTTGCCAGTTCGTTTCCCGCAGCCGGCAGAGGAATCCTACTCCGTTGGGCCCCTGAGCAAGGCCCCTAACCCCAACTGCTCCAGGGGCGCCGTATAAATGGCTGACCCTGCGCTCTGACCCCCAGCTTCTCTCCCTGTCTGTGTGTCTCATGGAGAGCAAGTTGGGGTCTGCGAAAAGATGAATTCCTAATACAAGAAATTGTATATGGCCAATGAAGTGATCTTATAAATGGGGATGTGGTGGAGGAGGGATGGAAAAACATCCAAGGAAGAGGATAGGGTGGAGGATGGAAATCTGAGAGACTACGTCAGGATTCTCTGTGGGTATTGGCAGCTGAGCTTGATTAGTGTGGCAACGCTCATCCCTCCTGAACCTTCATTACAATTCCATTTAGTCTGGTCTGAAGCCACTGTGAGCACAGCGAGCTTAAATGTGTCAGGAGTGGACAGCTCTAGTCTCCAGGGGTCAGAGTCCTCCAGGTCTGGAGACTTGATTTGACCTGTTACTCAAATGACTGGCTCAATCAAGATGAGCAGATGACACTATCCCCCCCACCCCGGTGTACACTGTTAGAATTTATTCGTCCACTCATCACTTTCTCACATTCACTCTCTCATCTTGGAATAACCCAGACTGAATCAAACAAGACAGGTGTAGTCAGGCCTTCCTGTGGATTTCATTTCACTCTTTACTATTACTGTCATCACCAGGGAACCTAAGACAATGTTGATAGGCTTCCCATTACCAAGAAAAACCCATCAGCTATTTTATAAATTAAGGGAAAGACATGATGTTTAGAAAAGGTATAAAAAAATAATGATTTAAAACAAGTTAATAGACAAATGTATTTTAAAGTCTTTGAGACAGGAAAAGTTAATACATGTTAATATGTTCTAAATAGCATTTTAATGATTAGTGCATAATTTATCTCAGCTGCTTCGTTCCTGACACTTTGGAACGTGACGTTTTATCAAGCAGGATGCTGGCAGAGCTCAGGTGAGAGGCTGACAGCTCGTGCTGCATGCAAAGACAGCACCTCGCACTCTCATAGGTCCGCACAGAAGTCTCATAGGACTTCCTCTTCAGCCTAGGGCACAGGTAGTCACAGACTGGAGCTTCTGCCCCATTCCACTGCAGGAGGCTGGAGAAACCTGCCTTTTAAAAGCCAGTTTTGGATTGTCATTGCGTCACTAAGGAGCTGGTTCCATCAAAAGCCAGAGCTGAGGGTCTGGTATCCTGCAGCGCAGGAACAACATTCACACGTTAAGGCGCTAAACGACGGGGAGCTTATTCGAAGTGCTGCAGGTGTACGACCCGAAGTCCTGAATTGTGCAGCGAGGCGGAAAAACAGGAAGTGGCGCAGAGAGGGGGAGCGAGAGAGAGGAAGCGACCTGCCTGACTCACAGAGCCCCCCCCAGCGCTGTCAGTTTCACTGTGAAATACCAACAGCAGCTCAGTGGGAGTCACGGCGCCGGTGCAGAGATCACAACAGAGAACCGAGAACAGCGGGGGTCAACAAGGAGCCCCCTCCCCCACCAGTGCACCCCCAGAGTCCGCACGGGGTGCGGGGGCAGGCTAGTGGTAGTCTATGGAAAAGGGGGAGGCCTGCACTTCGGCGTGGCGCTGCTGGCGCTGGGCACGGGGGCACTCGGCGGGCTTGTGCCCGTGCCGGGAGCAGGGGGCCCGGCGGGGGGCGCCCGCCCGCTCCCTCTCCTTCTCCCGCTCCAGGTCCCGGTCCCGGTCGGCGGCCGGGCGCTCGTGCTCGTTGTTGTTGCAGCGGTGGACCAGAACCGGGTCGCTGGGGGGCGACTTCTTCAGCAGCAGGCGCTGCAGCACCTGCTTGTCGGAGCGCTCCTTGCGGAAGTCGTCCTCGTAGACCTTCAGCTGCGGGGAGAGAGGGCAGGAGCTCAGGCCCCAGGGTTTCCTGCTCCTGCTGGTTCGTTCCACTGACACACACGGGCAGTTCCCGCCCCCCCCAGTAACCCACATCCCTGTTCGCTTGAGCCCTCTCTCAGCTTCTGCCTCTGCTCTGTGAAAATCCCAGATAACAGCGTGACTCTGACAGCTTCCTCGCTTTCGTTTCCCCTTTTCAGAATGACAGTGGTTCCCCTCTGACGTGCTTTTGACTGTTTCCAAACACTTTCAGGAAACCGAAAATAAATTTTGCTCCCGTGCAAAAAACACTTTTGAGATGACCCTGTACATCAGGGAACTACAGCCTTGTTCCATGCCTTCACTCTAGCTGAGATCTAAATGATGTAACCGCTCCATTCCGCTTCATAATTAGTACAAAGATTTCGAAACACTCCCTCACTGACCCGCTGAAGTTCCAGGGCCACTCCCTGTAATCTGCCCGGGGTCAAGGGTCGGGGGTCAGAGGTCACAGACCAGCCACTGACCTGCTCTTGTAGCAGCGCCATCTGCTGGCGCATCTCCCCCTCCTTCCTCCTCAGTTTGCTGTTCTCCAGCTGCATGCGCTCGCGGTCCTTGTGCTCCGTCTTGTAATCCGCCTCGTAGATCCGCGTCTGGAGGGAGAAGGGCAACGTGAGTTTAAAGCACACTGCCAGCACACAGAGTTACGCGGTCTGACGGTTGGCTTAAACGTTCCAGTTCTTCTAGGATGAGTTAACAAATGATTGACAATAGGGAGCGCTGTTGCACTGGGGGTTCCACGTATCCATCGTCACTTCTGCATAATAACCAGAGTGGGGTGATGCTGAGCAGGGTGATTAATCAGTATGAATTCTTACAGCCTTTTCTTCAATTCTACATATTAGTCTTACAAAAGCCATTCGAACCCATCTGAATAAATGGAAACACGGCATTGTCTAATAGAGACACCAAGCTGTGTGCAGCAGCCCGATTCACAGCATCCATCCATTCTCGAAATTCTGCACCCAGTTCGCAGGCAAGCCGAAGCCCGTCCCAGCAAGCAACAGGCGCAAGGCGGGGTACGCCCTGGACAGGACGCCCGTCCATCATATTCACAGCAAACGTCCGCGTGTTTAAAGCACATCTGGATTTCTGTATGAAATACATATTCATCCTTTTCAGGACAATGATTGCATAATAAACCTTACAAACCCCTGAAAAAGATCGGTTCATGAGTGCAAAGCGCTGGCACATGTGAAACAGAAGTAGCCACTCGCGACACTTGTTCGATACGGAGCAAAGAAAACGGGCAAGAGAAGCGACACAACTTGGTGTGCAGTCGGACTCCGTTCTGAATCTTGACTTACAAAAACAGCAAAAATGGGCCGTCCACATCACACATCTCAGGGAATCTGGAAACCGAGCACTGAGAAACCTTTCACCGGGAAGTCTGACATCAAGCCCAGCTACACTGCACAAGTTGCCAAGTGTTTTTTGAGCCAAATCAATAGGCCAAAACATGTCCACATCAATACTGTTTTAGCACCGAAAGAAAAGCAGTGCATGTGCTGGGGAAATAATTCAGACGAATGTCAAAAACAATTATTAAAACAATACCCGTGTCATTTTTAATGTGATTTTGGAAAGTGCTATTCAAGTCCTGGGTTCTGCTATGCAAATTAGTATTATGAGATGAAAATTGCTATACAAGCGCATTTCAATCCCAGCAGCCCCGGGTTCCTGGCACCGTCACATGTTCCCTTCTGCCAGCTGATTCTCCTGGAATCATATTCATTTCAATGCAAAAGTAATAATCCTCGCTGGGATCACGGCTGGCAGGGATGATTCCGATCCAGGACAAAGGAACGGCTGTGTCTTCTCCAGAAAAGAGATTTTGGTTTACAACCCCCCCCCCCAGGAAAGCCTGCTTCAGAACCCGGAGACCTCGATCAGTCTCAAAATCTAATCACAGGGCCAGCCACGGCCATCGGTGTTCAATCGCGTTCCTTGCCGGTCTTAATATTAATTCCAAATCCGCTTTTCTGGACACTCCACTCAAAATGTTCTACAGGTAATGGGGACTCTCCTCCACTACCTCCACTTGGCTAGGACACCTGGGTAACACCCCTACTCTTTTCGAGAAACGCCCTGGCATTTTTAATGACCACAGAGTCTGGCCCTCGGTTTTATGACTCATCCAAGGGATGGCACCTTTTTACTGGTCCCACTAACACCATTTCCAGCAGCAGCCTTACTTTCCCAGGAGTCTCCCATCCAGGTCCTGACCCGGCTCACACCCGCTGAGCTCCAGTGGTGCAGGGCGATGTAGCTGCTGGCTGTCTTATGGTTCTCAATACCACTGCTGAATTAAAAGGAACAAGACCAACTGGTGGCTGACTCTGGGCCGAGGGTGGGGCTCAATCACGTCTCCAAACTGCAGACAGAGACGACGGCGGCGTGCTGTCCGCTCCAGTGCCGTCCTGCAGTCCGGCGCCGGCAGGTCACGGGCCGGAGCTGATCCAGGTGTGACTGCAGATTGCCATGCAAAATATCCACCCCACCCCCCCCCTCTGTTCGGTCAGACACATCGCACGCGCCCCCAGCTTCGCAGATCAGGACAAACGAGACCGGACGGATGTATATTCGAATCCAGCAACGCACCCATGGGTGCAGCATCCTGGACCAAAGCAGAAAAACGAACAGCACACGCACGTCCCAGCCAGGCGTGCGTGGGGTCTGGAAAGCACATTGGCTGCAAGAGCCGAGGCGCGCTACTGTTCCCCTCCGGCCCTGCCATTCTAGATGGCCATACCAGCTGTGAGAGACCCCATCTTTATCGAGGGATCCCCCGTTGAAAGCTGCCAATCCCTGCTAAACAAGACTCCTTTTAGCGCAAAGTCACAAACAACAGCACAGTACTGTAGAAGACACACCCACCATTTTTACTCACCCTTGCTACACCAAGGCACCCCCCAATTTGTTATAAGACAAATAACCATAATGCTGACAAAAGCAACCTAGGATTACACACGGAAAACTGAAACAAATAAAAAAGTCCTAGATTTAAGGTCATTGGTCTATTCGGCAGAACTGACATTTCTCCCAGATTTCTTCACATCCTCCCCTTTTCACTGCAAGGCCCTCGGCAATGAGAGCAAAAATACCAGATGAAATGCCAGAGATGAATCAGCTCATCAGTCAAGGACACGGGTTCAGAGAATCTTGATGAGGGAATTCCCTTTTGCAGACTAGGGCGAAGTTACAGAACAGTACCACTGGATGGCACTGTGGTACCATTTGCAAATTTCCTAAGTATAGACAGTGTCGAGTTTGCTTTGTCACTTCACCAGGGCAAAATACTGTGGTAATTGAAAGTGCTTAGAGTAGGTTTCTTTTAAAGGTGATGGTATTCTTCTGACAGGTGCAATAAATACATTTTAGCATAAAGTATACACAAAGCATGCTCACTGGTAATCCATTGTGACATTCTCAGTATATATATAAGATATCACCTCATGTACACAGAGGCATGTTGGACACATCAGTGCCTTGGGATGCTTCATCTGACAGACAAGCCACTTGAATGTTTGCATGATTTAGGATGCCAGTATCGTCCCCCAGATCCTTAGATTTGACAAAAAAGCTGTGAAGGCTCTGCTCACCTGGCACCTGAGGGCTTCCAGCTGCTCTTTCAGGTCTTGCACCTCCTTCACCCTGTCCGGGTGTCCCTCGACTGTCCTGCAGGGGGAGCTCCTCCCTCCCTGCTCTCGGCCCTGCCTGTCTGGGCGGGCAGCGGTCTCCACCGGAGGCGGTGATTGGCTGGAACCCCGGTAGTGAGCTCGAGGGGGTTCGGCCAGACCTCCCACCTCGGGGGGCCTGCACACCTCGAGGCCGTTCTGTAAGAGGGGCAGCAGGCGAGAGTGGGGGGGGGGATAAGAGTGCGTGTATATAACTGTGCACGTGTGTAAGTGCATGTATTTGCGTGTGCATGTTTGCGTACATGTACTCGTACATTTACCTGTGCGTGTGCATGTGTGTATAAATGTGCATGTGCATGTTTGTGTACATATGCATGTGTGTGTACATGTGTGTTCACATGCATGTTTGTGTACATGTCTGTGTCCATGTGAATGTGTGTGTGTGCACGTGTGTAAGTGCATATATTTACATGTGCATGTTTGCGCACATGCACTCGTACATTTACCTGTGCATGTGCATGTGTGTATAAATGTGCATGTGCATGTTTGTGTACATATGCATGTGCGTGTACATGTGTGTTCACATGCATGTTTGTGTACATGTCTGTGTCCATGTGCGTGTGTGTGTTTGTGTACATGTGCTCGTGTATTTGCCTGTGTGTGTGTATGGGGGGCAGGGACACTCACCAGCACACCCCAGTCCCGGTCAGAGGCAGTGCGGTGCAGACGGCCCTCCAGCAGGCGGACGTACTCCTGCAGGTGCTGGTTCTTCCTCAGCTCCTGCAGCATAGTCTGTTCGTAATACTCCCTCTTGCTCTGGAGAGACAGAGGAGCCAGCCGGTTCACAGAGGCCCGCAGCGGACCGACTCACATACAGCCCAGACACCCAGACAGACAGCACAGCCGCGTCATTCTGAAGGGACAGCAGCTCAGTGAACGTAGAGTCTCCTCTTACTTCCACACAGGGGAGCTGAAGAGAGGTTACAAACATGAGGTGGATATCCAGTCCTACCCTGTCAACAGCTCATTTGGTTGTTAACGGATTTATTTTCATCTAGGTGAAGAATCTGTATTTAAGCGGCAATAAGCTCATAATGTGAAGAATTGCCTTCTATTTTCTTAATTTCCCTGCTTGTTTCTGGCTCTTGTTTCATTGTCATACCTGAGGCGGTTTCTCAGGCTGACTGGCCTGTAGCATTCAAGGTACTGAAAGCTTGAATCGAACGCCCTTGAGCTCTCTGTTCTTGTCTGAAGCAGCGGTTCCCAGCCCTTAGCCTTGCAGGAATCCTGCCTGCTGATACTCATTACAGCTGAGCTCTACTGCTCCAGTGCTCACGGATGACTCCACTGACCTGCTTGTTTGTTTAGACTTTTATGTAACCTGTTTCTTCTTTCATCGCTGCGGGTAAAAATACACCACTTCCAGAGGGCTGTTTCCAACAACTTCATCATACAGAGTTTTACACAGCCTCTCCTTAACGTGCTGGTATTTCTGACCCAACAGCTCCTAGTAGATGATGAACAGAGAGATGGGAGGGATAGTATCGGACACGCCCACAGTGGGAGGGTTGTATTGGACACGCCCACAGTGGGAGGGTTGTATTGGACACGCCCATAGTGGGAGGGTTGTATTGGACACGCCCACGATGGGAGGGTTGTATTAGACACCCCCACAGTGGGATGGGCAGTATTGGACACGCCCACGGTGGAAGGGGTGCCATTGGATACATAACGGGCTATTGGACAAGCTCACAATGATGTTACATCCTAGATACATCCATTTGACATGGCACACCTGAATGAGGGCAGTCCTGAAATTTAAAATCTCGCACAAGGTTGATACGAACTACAAAACCCATTTGACCCTTTAAGAGCTGGAAACAAAATTCCAAATAATCCCCCAATAAAACGGAAAATCAGTGAGCCTGTGATGAAGAACCCAGCCGGGACCCAGATTGGGAGCCACGGCCTCAAGCAGGGGGAGGCGCCGTCTTTGAGCGTCACCTGCTCGTGCTCCAGCTTGAGCAGCAGCCGGCCGTTGTGCCGCTTGAGCGCGCTGCTCTCCTGCTCCAGGGCGCCGACTCTCTGCTGCAGGCCCAGCGTGGTGCTGCGGTAGATGTGGTCCCACTCCTCGTTCAACTTCATCAGCTACTCCAGGGAGAGAGAGAAGGGGGCGGGGAGCATGAACGAGGAGGAGCAGAGAGACTGTGCATTTGGCATGGGTTCTGGGACGTGGGAGTGAGTGTGCAAAGGGTTACAAACAAGAGGAGGCCTGCCACTGTCCAAGCATGTTGTGTCTGAGCGCCCAGATCTGTGAGCAAGGCAATCGCACTTCCCACAGTCTACACCATCCTACAGCTTTAATCCAACAGGCTGGACAATTTGTTCGGCTTGAAATATTTCTTCAGTAATTGATCCTCTTGCTAAAAACAACCCTAAAACAACTGAAGGTTTTGCGTGGACAAACAGAGTCCAGGGCGGGACGGGGGACGTCGCTCACCTCCTTGTTCAGCCTGCGCAGCTCCGTGTTCTTGTTCAGCAGCAGCAGCTTCTCCTCGTCGGCCGAAGTCACCGACATGCTCTCCGTGATCAGGGTCACCTGCTCCTCCCCGGACAGCAGCCGCTCCCCCTGGGACCCGGCCAGCGAGGCTCCCCTGCGACACACAGGCGGGGCACAGGGTGAGCACCTGTAGAAGCACCTGGAAGCGCTGCTCCAACCCGGGCCTCGTCGCTGGCAGACTGGGTCTAGATCTTTCCCCACGCACATCTGGCTAAGGACCGCTGGCAGGTAGGGTTAGGGTAGCGCTAATGGGAGGGCTGGGATGAGGCCGTCAGCATTCTGTCAGCTCTCCTCCTGTGAGGACCTGGGCGCCTGCCGGCTTGCAGGCATGTCAGCAAGGGGAGTACCACTGCTCCAGCCGGCCCTACCTGTCCTGCCAGCAGTGCCGTGGAGCTCACAGCATGGGCAACGATCCTGCAGGTGGGCATGCTGGCGGTGTGCGGCGGGGACGCAGGGGAGCCAGGTCCTAAGCCGTTGCATATCGAGGGTGCATACAGGAATTTGGAATCAGCCATTACAAACGTATGAAAAAAGAAAAGATCAAGCACACACTTCCCTCCTGCCCTCCGCCATCACTTCACTCCACTACAAGGCTGTATTACTTGTCTGAGGTGCAAATAAGCTCCTGCATCAGGTCGTAGAGGGACACCACAAGGTCAGGATCCGGATCAGGTGTGTTGGAGGACAGGCTTGGGCAGAGAGCAGGACAGAGGCCTTCAGCCCTCTTCTTAGTCTCCCATGACTGCTGGGTAGTTTTCTACTGTAGACTTGAGCTGGATTAGATTTGCTTTCTCATGCAATTTGTCATCTCCCTGTCACAGTAAAGATCAGCTGATCTGGGCAGAATCCTGACAACTGTGTGACATCTTGAGCAGGTGGCAGCCGAGCATTCTGGGTAAGCTGGGTATTCTGTCCTCCAGATGTGCCCTTTACCCAAAACAGTTCCCTTAGATGAAGCATAAAACCGAAGGCCTGACTCTCTGTCGTCATTAAAAATCCCAGGGCGTTTCTCGAAAAGAGTAGGGCTGTCCTGGCCAAATTCCCCCTGGCCATTAACTATCATGGCCTCCTAATAATCCCCATCTCCCATTCCTGATATGGCGACACAAAAGGCTGGCTGCTGCTGCAGCTGCTGTGTCAAAGGAGCTCAGCTATGCGTATGTTTCAGACTGAAGTTTGACGAAACAGCCTCCGGGTTTGGATCTCCAGGGGTTTTCGTGATAAGTTTAATTCAGAACTACTCATTGCTCATTGCCTCTTTGCATCTCTACAGCACGGTGACGCCTCTCGAAACCTGAAACACACAGTGAAAGAAAAAAAACACCCCAGCAAACGCAGCGTCCCCCTGTCATGACACGGGGACTGGAGGGAATCACCCCTCTCTCCCTCTGATACCAGTTTATGGGGAAGGGGCTCTGCCCCTCCTACCTGTGACCCCTGTGACCCCTGTGACCCCTGTGACCTGAAACTTCCCCCGGCTGCTCACCCAAACCACACTCATGCTCAGATGACCCACTGACTCACTGAGAATGCCATTTCCTTTGACATTCACAATGGATTTAATTCCTGGGGGTTATCCACGATTTCAAAGTCCTGTTGCTGAGCCAGCAGAGTGGCAAACCATGAAATTTTAGTTGACCTACTTAAAAAAAACAACACATGGAAAGGAAACTGCTGAGCACTAGCAAAGTGACTGCATATAGGCAGCACGTGCACAGCTCCATTTCACCTAACGTGATCAGGACAAATGTGCTAGAGTACAGTTCTCAATAAAACAAAGAGAGGGAATGTATAGTTTACCCAAAACCGCCAATAGTGTCACATTACATTTCAAAGAAGGACAGAAAAAAATCCTGCAAGGTTGCAAAAGTACCAGTTATATCCAAAGAAGCAAGTAGCCCCGGCTGTTTGTTTCCAACTTGTCTAATACCGATTTTTTTGTTTCTTTCCCTTGGTTGTGTCCCATCAGTCGGGAAACGACAGTAAAAAAGTGGCAGCTTGGGATCAATGGGTCGGTGAATACTGATTGATATGAACTGCGCAGAGGAAGGAAATGGGAAAGACTGAAGACCGATCTGCATGGGGCTTTATCAGACCATCCCAGTCTGTGGTTGAGCTCACGGCCCAGCCCGAAACTTTCCACCATACCATAGCCCATCGCAGCTGGATAATCCACGTTTTAAACAGAAATGGAGTGTTTGTTTACCAGCCTCTAGACTGGCATGATGAATCCTAAGCCCTCCTCATGTTTGCTCTTGGGGTCATTTTCTTCCCAGACTGGTTGATATGCAGTCTTCCTAGTGGCGCAGAGTCAGTGTCCCTCCAGTCTCCACAGTTCTGTGTCAGAAGCAGCTGGATGTGTTAAAGGCTTCACTCCTCCTGCTCACCTATCAGGTTGGCTGTTCCTCTGGACCTACTGATTACTACCTTCCTCCTCCCCACCTGTTCGCCCGACCCCGGTCTCCCGTCTGTCCCCCACTGTGGGTGACAGGGCCTTCTCCTGCCGCGCCCCAAAGCTGTGGAGTCACATCCCCGAGGACATCAGGGAGTCACCTACCCTGAGCTCGGAACTGTCTTCTCCAGAGAGACTGACTTCATCGGATCCGTGTCTGTCCCTTGCATCTTCTTCTGCATTATAACCCTTGTTTTTAATTGTGCTGATTTTGTCAGACCTCTTCTCCAAGAGAACTTTTTTTCTCTTACAGTAAAGCACCTTGAGCAGTCTTTTAAAGAGGCTTTATGAAATAAAGATGATGATGAACTCTTATTCCATTATTCACTGGCAGTGGTTAATTCCCTCTCTTCCTCACTGGGAAAGTCGGAGGTGTGCGGTCTGCCTCTCCCCCTGTGTTGGAGCCCTGGCTGATATTCTCTCGGGGCCACACCGTGCCAACAGCTCTGCTCCTGCCCCAGCGCCTGCTTCTGGAGTCGTGGCCCCTGCCAGCGCCTGAGCGATGCAGAGTTTACCCTGACCCACGAGCGGAGAGGAGAGAAAACTGGACAATCCGAGCAACGCTGACTCATGGGGGAGATTCAGTTTGACTACCCAGTTCATTTGTTTTTCATGAGTTGTCCCACTTTCGGAACAATGCAATCCCCCTCCCACAGCTTCCAGTACTGGGGGGGGCACCCACCACGGTGGCCCTGCGTCATCATACAGAATTCCCCCTCCCTGCCTGAGGACCTCAGCTTGCTCTGACAGCTGCAGCCCTGCGGCACGCCCGCCAGGGGGCGCCGTGGGCTGCAGACTCCGAGAGGTCTTGCTCGCCTGGAGGAACGCGACAGGTGGGAGCCGCCGTGACTCCCATCAGATCCGAAGGAGCATTTGAAGACGCATCCCCAGCGCTTGACCCATACCTAACCCTAAATCTCACCCCAACATCCCCATGCCGGACGCAGGCTCCGCCTGAACCCTAATCACACGAGCCGCCTGTCTTTCATTCTCTTCACCTCAAGCAAATATTCCTCTCTGACCCTCAGCTTCAACCCCGTTCCCAACCCCCTGGGCAAAAACCAGGCTCCAGGAACATTTATCACAGCGAGGCAGCCAAGAGTCAGCAAACAACTTTGCCTCTCAAACACCCGCACCTTTTTTTCATATTTCGGACCCATCGCAAGTGAACCGGACCTAATTACAGACAGTCCCCTCTCCTGTCAGCCTCTTGCCCCCCGGAAGGACGCCTAGGAGAGAGGCTTCTTCGCCGCTCAAGAAGCTTTAACAGTTGTATAACGCGGAGGGACAGAAAATGTCTTCCTTCTCTCGCCGGCTCAAGAAGCAGAAAAGCGCACGTCGCCAGACAGCACTCCAACTCCCCACCATTGACTCAGTACAGACGGGAGTGCTGTGCGGTGATTCTCATCGCCTGTGCGCTACAGAGAGGAACGATAGTGATCTCCACTCCACCGCAACTAAGGCACCGGCGAACTCAATTCAGTCCGGTGAAAGCCTAACCAACACGCACCCAGTCACCACAGCGTCGGTTGTTGTGGGACTGAGGAAAGGGGAAAAAAAAGTCTTATGGCAGGAGAGGTTGTAAGGAAAAGAGGTTGGAGGAAAAGAAAGAGAAATAAGGAGGCGTGTCCGCTAATTGTTCACATTTTAATAACGCGCCTTTCCGTACGAACGCGTTTCCGCCTGTCTCCGGCGTGAAAAGTGAAAACGGCGCCGCAGCGCCCTGCGGATCCGTCACGTGCGCCCTCGAGTCGCGTCACCCACGGCCGGGGGATTTTCAGCGAGCGAAAGAAAAAAAACACACACTCACACGCCGTGACCGAAGAACAATTTACAGGACGAATATCCGCTTACTGGAACCGCGCCGCAAAATGCTATAGATGAACAATGCAATAGTGAAACGTAATGTTAGATTACTGGCATAACGTATCGCATTAAGTGATCAAATTCCGACAAACTCACTTTGCTCTTCTGTCACTGGCATACTGTCCTGTCCTACTGGTCCAGCTGAAGAGCCGATCTTAACCGGTCACTTTTAGACACCCAAAACATGTTATCCGAACACAGCCTGTCTATAAACGGATACGGTTCTCGTTGAATTGAAAAAATACACATATGCACTACTTCTGATATTGCTATTACCGTATTACCGTTAATAAAAGACCATAATTGCTGCATTATTATGATTGCTATTATAAGGCATAAAATCCAGAGATGCTCATTCAAGGTTAGTAATCGTAGGCCTTGTTTGTGGCTAGTTTTGCCTGGCTGACTATAAACCACTAAGTTCCTTAATGTTACAGAAACTTTGATTTTCTAAACGTTCGCGGACGCTTGTTAGCGCAAACTCACCCGCCGTCTGTCAGGCTGCCGCCGTCTCGCACGACGCCGGGCTCACAGGGTCCTCGCAGGCTAAGCGAGCTGTCCTGGCTCGGAGAGCTCGGTTCCGACCCAGAGGGCACGGACTGCGGAGCCGAGAGAGAGCTGGCTTCCATGGTGTGGCCGAAGCACAGGGGGGCCGGCGACTGAAGAGAGCTGAAGAGAGACCGAAGTTCGGCTTTCACTACCCTACCCCTGTGTCTCTCCCGTCCAGAGACAACGACGCGACAACTGACTGCGTGCTCTGGCGAGACGGGAGTTGCTGGTTCAGTCACCGGCGCTGGAAGAGGAAGTTTCAAAAGAAACATCTCACACGCAGGGCAAAACAGAGAGGTGTCTGAAAAGAGGAAGCGGCGTCAGTCACCACGGGGCTGTGGAAGCTGGAGTTCACCTTTTGTCAGACTCCGGCGTGGACTGAACTTTCCGCTTCGGGGGGTCGTGGTGCGAATTGAGCCCCACCGCTGAGGAAACTCTGACCGAGCGGTGCCGGCGGACGCACTCGGATACTGTTATCTGTTGTTTTATTTTCCTCACGACGGGGGGGGGCTTTTTAATACGCGAGAAACAACTTCCTACGTACGGTTCACGGGCACAGGTTTGCAGGCAGGTGTTAAACTACTGTATGTCAGACACAGAATATTAAAACATGACCGAAATAAATGACAGGCCACACGAGGGACACTGCAGTAAACACGACAGGTGTGAGGCGCGTTGAGAATTTAAGGAATTAAGGTAAAAGGAAGAATATTCATGGAGATGTTCATTTAGTTCATTCCTGTCGACGTGCATTCGGGATGCACATGGACGTACTTCTCAATTTTGCAGACAACCGCAGAAATAAGCGAGAAAAACGGCCATCGTTATTCTATAGCGAAAGATAGAAGCATGGCCAAGCTCGGAGGGTCAGACAAGTTCACGGTGTCGCGGTCTGAGCCGTGAGCTCATGCATGCGCTCAATAGGAAGTTCTGGGAGCGAGTCCGGGGAAATTCCGGGGACACTGGCGCGGGTCCAGCCGAGAAAGAGAAGCGCAGCTCCGTGACTCTCTGTGGTGCCCAAGGCGCATCAGCTTTTCCGCGACAGTCACCACCCCGCCCCCCTCCCCCAGCGCCTTTCGCCCCACTGCTGCCTTCTCAAAATAACCTGTCGCGCCCTTCCGTTGTGTGTGACGTTCGAAACAAAACAACAACAAAAAAAGATTGCGTCCCCCCCATCAATTTGACACAGTACGCCAAAGCAACGTATTAACGGTCAGGACGAATGGACTGTACCGTCACGCCTCTCTAGCTTAACCACGGACAGTACACGCGGTGCGTCTAGCCCACGCACTCCTGCACCCACACACACACACGACACAGATTTAGCGGGCTTGTGCTTCTTGAGGTCTGTGGTAGACTCCACTTCGCCTTACAGCAGGAGGTCATCTATTACGTCACGTTTTCTGTGCGTGTTTTCGGTGGGTGGTTTGTCACGAAAACCTCAGGCGCAGGAGAGTGCGTGGGTGTGTGTGTGAAAACACCTCCCACCCCTCAGCCCACAGCCCACGTCGGAAGGCCAGAGGGTCCTGAGCCCAGCTCGCGTCGGGTCACAAAAACAAGAAAAAAAAAACACAGTAAACAAAAACAAAATCAGAACAAAAAAAAAACAGTAAATTTCCCTGTCGGGATACTGAAACTACTGTTAACTTCATTACTGTTATCAGCTAACAGAGTTTTAAACAAATAATTCACTGTTAACATTCAAAGACATGTTGAACAAACAGAAAATCCCAGTATTAAAAACAACGGCCAGACCTCTAGCACAGAATTAACGATGTGCAATACTGTCAGAACAGGCCTGGTAGCCATTCACTGCCAGTAGTTTCTTAGCACTTTGCTATTATTATTATAGGATACTAATGTGACTGACTTATATGAGACAGGAAACGTATCATTTTTATTACACATTTCTGCTGACGGTCATGATCTTTGCTTTATAACAGAGTGGACAGATTTTTTATCTAGCCAGAACCTCTAAATAAATTCAGAAAAGGATCATCTGCTTTCTACCCAGCGAACAGTTGCAGTTGTCTTAGACGAAATTGCAGAGCCTTGAGTACAGAGTTTGTGCTCTTTAATGGAGCGATCAACGGGGAACCCGTACTGCTTTGAGCGAGGGTGTCCAGCCTGGCAGTTTTCAAACGTATCCGTTAAACAGCTGAGTAATAAACGGCCGAAGCAACTGCACTGTAAAACATCAAGCAGGTGGTTTGTTAAATGAAGTAATTTAGAGGTCATCTGGAAATGTCAATGTCTTCAGCTCTGCAGAAACCAGAGTTTCCCTAATTGAGCAAATTACCCGCCTAGAATTGATCAGTAAATCTGGAGAGTTCTCAGCTCCTCAAAAGGTGGTGATTTTGGGTGACAGGGTGTTTCTGCTCTCGGGGACGTGTCCAGTGGAATCAGGGCTGCATTTGCTCTGCCACGGACAGCGGGCTCTGCAGTCGGCCCCGCTGCTTCAGAAAGCGAAAGAAGTCTTCACAGCTGGCTGGGGGCCACGTTTGGGTGTGTGGGAGCGAGAAGCAGGAAGGGCACCCATGGGTGCACAGGGTCGCAGCTGTGCATCTGTGAAAACGACTGCCTGTTTGCACATTAGCCTGAGCAGCCCTGAAGCTCAGACAGACAGATAGCAGAAACATTCAGAGTTACCAGGGGCAAGTCACTGAACTCTGAACTCTGAACTCACTGAACTGAAAACAGATAATTAAGATGCTTTTATGTCCCATAAACTCCTTATGTCTTCAATATCCAATACATTATACATTATACCAGTCCAGGTATAGCTATCCCCAGCTGATGAGCTCTCATAAGCGCGAAACAGTAGTCTGCAGTTGCTGGCCTTAATTTAATTAACACAGGCAGCAGTCTGTTCGCCTGGTCCTGCTTTCTGATGTTGTGAGTCTGTCCTAACTAGTATTCGTATAGTCAAAGATAGATGTATTCACACCTAGATACACCACATACATAATTGGGTTTTCAGGACAGTGGTGTATGGTTACATGACCAGAAATGTATGTACTATTCATCATTCATCATAATACCAGTGAGTGGTATCAGTATGCCTAACAGAACTATGTACTGGCCTGTGAGTGAGTAGTGGTGTAATAGCTTTATTGACCGAGGTCTGCCGACAGGCCAAGGACAAATTGCACGTTTCAATACAGGGGGATCGATTTTTCCGAGCCAAGGGACCGGGGCAGATAGAGAGCCGATAGGAAGATGGAGGTCAGGATTTGAAGCTGCTGTTCGGTGTGCTGAGCAAGAGGCAGGAATATATATCAAAACCTGAGGACAGCTGCCAAAAGCCACTTCAGTAGTTTGGACAGGTCCTAGTAAGTATAACACAGTCATGGAATGTACTGGAGGTTTGTTTGGCCTAGCTGAGGGAATGAAGAAGGGAACCCCCCTCCCCTTTGCAAGAAATGAGCCAGGGAGCTGCTGCAGGGGTGAAGATGGTTGGAGGGGAGCGAGAGAGATATGCAAAGGGATGTTCAGGTTGCAAGACAGGATCAGACATCCTCCAGAACGTCTGTTAAAAAGAGACCTGTGGTGGGGATGATAACTCTCAGGACTGAGGAATATGGAAAACCATTAACTTTATGTGCTGCAGCTGTTGTAGTGGCATCTTAACTGGATTTGAATCCCCAGGCTTCACCTGTAGAGATAACTACCCAGCACACTGCCTCCAAACTCGACAGTTGCAGTGTGTTAGAGTCACCGTGGTGCCATAGCTACAGAATACAACTGTAGCTTATATGTGTTTCTTGCTTACATCAATTCCTGCTAAAGCTGGATTTCTCAAGGGAAGTAAGAGGATGAGGCCCATCCTCCTCTGACCTGACCCCTGACCTTCTCTGGCCAGTGTTTGTCCAGTGCTTGTTTCTGCTCTCTGTCTGGGTCTCACGGTCCCCCTCCATTCTGCCTCTGGTCAGTGATAAAAGTGTACTCCTGCACCACCTGTAGAATCCGCAGTAGAGCAGTGTGCGAGTAACACACACGTGCTGCAAGCTTGATCGCTTAACCCTTTCCTCTCAGCCACCTTTACCCGACTTCCATTAATCCCACAAAACAAAAAAATCGCAGTGGAGAGGGAGAGGCAAACATGCTCAGGGTCAGGAGGGCCCCACGAAGTGGACAGCCAAGGCTGGGTGACATGCATGCAGCATTTCCTGTAACTTCAACAGGAATTTGCATTGCACTTGTGTTCAACAGGGCTCTCTATACAGAAGAATAAAGCATGCATGCAGCATTTCCTGTAACTTCAACAGGAATTTGCATTGCACTTGTGTTCAACAGAGCTCTGTATGCAGAAGTAAAGATTTTAAACATAGGGTGAGGTAGGAAGGGAACCTAATGATACGACACACATACCCTGTGAGAAAGAGTTAGAACGTGGCCGGCCTATCGCAGCAGAGGACTCTCCAGGCTGTGCTGAATCGGCAGGTTTTTCATGGAGCTCCCTGTAGTAGCAGAACAGATTAATAGAAGATGCCCTGGCTCCTCGCTCCACTGTGCCCACTGACAGTATCTTAGGGGGGGCATAAGCAATTAGAACACTGATCTGCAGAGCCCTGTCCCCTAAAGCATGGAGAGCAGTTCCTGTGCTTGACCTGATTGAGTGGGCTTTGAAAATCCTCCGTCCCTCTCCTTGCATCCTTATACCGGAAGCTGCCTGTTCCACCTGTCCACCTGTCCCACCTGTCCACCTGTCCCATTTGATCCTGCAAGGATATAGCTCCTGTCTCCAGCAACTCGACCACATCATAATTTATCTCCAGTTATTTCTCACGCCTGATTGGTAAGCCTGAGCAGACTGGCAAAGTTCCTCCTCCCATCAATAACCAGGCTCGATAAAAAGCCATTATAGGCTGTGATTTAGTGCTTGACCAGGGAAGGCTGCTCTCCCCACACCCATAAAACACTGTGTGACAGGGCCCTGAAATATGACAGCTGTAAAGCCCTCTTAGCAGGGACCAGGCAAACAGTGACGTATGGCTTTATGGAAGCCCTGAACAGCTCTATCTGCATCAATTTGCTCTGCAGCAGTCTGGGGGCTCTTTCTTCACGTGCACCTGCAGGCATGAGAGTGAGTGCATGCGTGTGCGTGCGGTCCTGTCTGCGTGTTTCCATCTATTCCATCCCGGTGCTTAACAGTCCATTAACCCATCTGCTACAGCACAAGGGGGATCGGGGATGCAGTCTGTTAAACACACACGCAGTGGCCAGAGTGAGCGCATACAGGCATACCGCAGGTCTGTGCGATCGGACCTCAACTTCAGCTGCAAGATGGACTGTTTATCCCGAACCTCCACAAGGTCATAGGTTATTGCAGCTATAAAATCTGGGGATAAAACGAGCTCCATGTCCAATTAAGCTTACAAAACAGTAATAAAGTCACCTTCTGTCTGCATGAGAAGCACCTAAAACCTTTTATACAGTAAGATATGTAAGAGACTTTAAACTGCAACACAAACAGGCAGTTACACTTACAGTAGCTCACAGACATTGGGAGGAGAACACTGGATTCTCTACGTCATTTGTCTTAAAATCTTGCAGACCCATCTCACTTTCTTTCTGACTAATCAGTTAATTAAATTATTTTCTCAAGCGAATCAATTTAACCTGTTGTTTCCTGGTCTGAAGCAGGTAGTGATCCGAGGAGACTCTTAAAACTCAATGGTATGCAGCTCTGGGACCCGACTTTAATAGTACTGCTCAATGAGAAGAATTAACTGGGGGAAGAATGCATCTCAGAAACTGACTGACAGGACAATACTACTTCAGTGAAGCAGGATAGGCAATTATTTCTGGGAACATTGTTAACAAAATTCCAGTCTCACTGACAGACCTAATTCCAACCTACCTTTTCTGATGACAAATTCTTGAACATGTTGTAAAACATAAAGAGAGTCAATTTCTGTAGAAGTTACCTTCAGACTAGAAGTCTTCTGATTGGTAGAATGTTCTGGCCACTTAATTATGCAATATTGTTTTGGAAAAATAACATTGCATTGCATT